TTTAACTCTCTGTGCTGTCTGGGATTCCCAACTTTTATGGCAGTAAAAATTTGTGATTAAAGCGATTAAACTTTTATATGAACTTTTATGTAAACATTTCAAATTTTTATATAATCCGGAACAATATAATAAAAATCTGCACTGAAGTTCGAAAACTTGCAGGCTGTGGACGAAAGATGAAAAAACTAATAGAAATTTAATTGCTTTTCAAAATGTAAAACTATATTATTTAATTTTTTAATTATATACAATATTTAAATTATTTGATGTATGCATATGCGATTTTCCGCTCTCCATAACCAGTTAAATATAATTGGATTCTACCTCGCGTGTTTACGTGCGAAATTTATCGAGTCGATTCTCGGCGAGCATCGCGAATTCTCGAAAACTTAGACTTAAGTATCTTAAGCATTGATGAATCTCGAATTAGTAAAAAACATACGATCAGATAATAAAGTTAACGGCGCGTAAATATCGTAACCATCAGATGAACGAACTGACATTGCGAGTGAATTAATTTACAACGTAAATGTGACTGGCAGATAATAATTACGAATAAATATCGATAACGTATAATTTCATTATATGTAAATTTAATATCATGAAGAAAGCGAGCGGTATTTCTAACTTGTTTTCGAAAGATAATTCTTTTTAGCCAAATTCAATTAATTTTTTTCGCTACGTTAACTATATCTTTTAAAAATAAAACACTCTAAATTATGGATTTTAAACCCTGGTGAAAATTTGTCTCACAATTTTTATACGAATTGGAACATTTTTCAAAAATACTCAGAAATATTTAGAAAGTTTATATCATCTCTCAGAATTTTTCATATAAGTGAATTTTAAAATATTCTGAAATTTCTCATCCTATAATTTCTAAAAAATATATTTTTAAATTTTTTAGATCTTATAACATTTCATCAGAAATTATACTTACAAAAAAATCTTAGAAATCTTACGATATTTCATTATTAATATATATGAAAAATTCTGAGAAAAGATGTAAATTTTCTGAGAAATGTTCCAATTTGTATAAAAAAATGTGAGAAAGTTATATAGAAATAATAAAATTATAGAAATTTTGAAAGATTGTATGAAAAATTCTCACCAGAGAAAGCTTAAAATCTGACCAATTTGGAAAGCAGAGGAAAAGAATAAATTCCATTTCCGATCAATGTCTTAATTGAAAAAAATTACTACTAAAGTCTGTGGTTGGAAAAGTCTGTGTATGAAAGATGCCTCGTCAAGTCTATTCGCTGAGTTACTTCGGGCAGAAGTTACTCGTCACGTCGAGAACGAACATTAAGGAGCGCCTTAGAGCAGATGAATAAAAAAATCAGTGAGGTGCGGCCTCTCCGCGGAAATAATAACTTCGTGTGTAGCAAGACGACGCGCTATAACGAGAGACGGCTTTCCTTTCCGGCGGAAAATCACGGCAGACGAAGCGCGAATATGAAAAATGCGTCCGTTTCTTTTCGGTCACGCTTTATCACGATCAACTCTGTTGATGTACACAGAACGGAGTAAACGCGTTCATGGAATTTGGAAAAATCTAGATGGAGAGAAATGAAAAAATTACAGTAAAGTAGAAAACTAGAGGGAACGGAAGTAAGAAACCGGGAGCCTCGCGATTACCTTGAGTGATATCTCGAGCTCTTCCTCTCTCATTCTGACCGTAAAAGATGATTAACATAATATCTCAGTATAACGTGAATCCATCCTTCCATCGATCGAGCGTAGATCGCTGTTGGCATGTGAAAATTTTAACATTTATTTGAAAGTACTGTGAATATCAAGAGGAGAAAAAAAGAGAGGGATTCTTTCTCTCTCTTTCTTTCTCTCTCTTTCTCGCTCGCTCTCGTTCACCTTCTCTCTCTTCTCGGTACTGAGTCGATGACTTTGCGCCTCGACCGAGTCATTATTCAGAGCTCCGATACACACGGCGTCGCGCCGCGTTTCTTCACGTCGCCCGCAGTATATCACTTTCTCGTAGGAAAAGTCTCGGCACGAAACGGAACGGAATTCGTACTCGCAAAGGAGAGAAAAGCGCAGTCCTTCCTCGCGCCACGACGAGAGTGGTACGATACGGAACGGAGCACGCATGCACGCACGCATGCACGCACGCACGCAGGCATGCACGCACGCACGCACGAATGCGCGCCGCTGACCACCACTGGCCGACTGAAGAGAACACCTGTATAGCCAGGAGACACCTGTCGCTGACGCGCGCTTGTGGATCTGGTGATTTTATGTATCTAGCGAAACGCCATATAAAACACTAGTGCGGCGAAACTCGCGTTTCTCGCGATTTGAACTTGCCACTCTTCTATGTGCTATAAATATTTAGACACGTACGCGCATTGTGTCTATAATTAAACATACACTGAGAAAAAAATTGTTCTTTTCATTGAAGTAATTTAATTCGTTTTTAAGAAGAATTTCTTCTCTTTCAATGAAGAATTATTAAAAAAATTTATTAATTTGTATATGCAAATTGGCATTGCAAGAAATTGTTTATTTGACTAAATTAATTTAGTTCCTTTTTATTTCTTCCTCAGGATATACTAATTACATCCAAATTAATAAATCTATTTTGTATCAAAAGTTATTAAGTTTGATATATCTTTCGGAAATGCTCCTTCCTTTTTAGATATTTATGTAGAATAATTCTTAATAAAGGTTATTGAATAATCACATTTTCATAAACAAAACTGTTGCGTTTATTTTATCAATTATTTTTTACATATCTAAAGTATTTTTATTTTCACTCGCCACAAATCCTTATGATATAATTATTCGATCGAGAGAAATCGTCTTCCTTTCTAATTACAGAAAAAGAATTTGTCTGAATAAAAATTATAACAGGAATTCCACAGTAAACTTTCATCCGTTTTGTGCTTGTAATCGTTGCATTACATTTCATTATTATTATATTTAATTGATAGTATTTTTTATCTTATTTCTTACAAGTGCAATGTCACAACTTATAATCCTCTTTAGATTTCATGCACACGATTTAATTAATTTATAAAATATAAAATAAATTTTAAAATATAAAATACTTGCATTAATGTTTTCTCTTATAAATAACATTTTCTTTTACTAAATTACAATTTCTCAGATAAATGTAAAATAAAGCTTAATTGAAAGAAATAGTACTTCTTATATGGGAAGTTGGTCGATGTATCGTTAATCTAAGCCATCTAAGGGATAACGGTATTACAAAGATTTATCGTGCAGATTTACAAAGATTTCTCCGACGATTACCGTCTGTAAGCACGCATTTCTTTGAAATTTGCGATCAATTTGGTACTATTAACACAGCTCTTATTTCAAAACAGAAGATGGATGCTAGAGTGATGTGCATACATACGCTCTCATATATATATATACATA